TGGGCATCTTACCCTCAGGCACTCTTTTCATGCAAATAGATACCTACCAGATGTGACTTGAAGGCGGTATATCCAGTCAATTATCGAAGTTCTCCGTTCTTCTGTCAACAAATTGTCCAGCTCACCCAGCAGGTCGAGCGCTGATACGGCGAAAAACAGAAGCGTAAGCCTGTAAAATCAGAATTACCACATAAATTAGTGGAATTATCTTGCTCACCTATTTGTGTCTAGCGTACAGTACTGCTCAGGAAAAACGTTCAGATGCCTAATCAAAAACTTCACGTGTTTTTGCAAAATTAACTGCTCTGACATAAACTGCAAAGGAAACAAAATTACAGAAAAGGCATTCACTAAAGAATAAGAATATGCATGACAAATAGCTCAGATTCATGACAATGCGCTTTTCAAGCAAATAAAGATAATAAAATAATGTTTATTAGGGAAAACATCTCAAAACCACCAGAGCTCAACAAATATAAGATACCTAATCTAATGTCTATAATGTTGATTGACGTCAACTCCACAAAAGTGCGATAAACTTTTTGAATGTATCCATATTAACATGAGGACTTTCTGTCAGTTGCTCGTAGAAAGGCTTTGGTGTGTACAATGGCGAAGCTAAAAACACAATCTTTAGAACAAACATTTGAACAAAAACGCTACTCACCTTTCTCTACCCAGACGACATTCTTTATGGGATCGTTCTCTTCCAAACTGAGCGTGTTTAATTGCATTGTTACAATATCCATGTTACCGTTTACCAACTGTACACCCTTGACGACTACGGGATGCCTTTTCAAATCTCTACGCTCTCCTCTCCTAGTCGCTTCTGCCACTGCTGCACCAAAAGTGTGAAGAATGGCATTTGCTGCATTCTGTTCCCTATAAGGATGCATTGTGAATCAGCACCATACAGAAAAGGAAAAAACTCACTTCGTCCACGGGTACTTCTGATCTTGTTCTCGTGACCAAAGCAATGTGTGTAGTGACGGTGCTTGGAGGCGAGCCACCATAGCAGTATCGTTATAGATATGGTCTGTCGAGAGGTCGATAACAGGAGAGAGCGGTTCGACTGATGGAAGTTGTTGTTTACTAAAACTTAGAAAAAAGATAATCAAGCCTAAGCGGCTAGCACTAAAGTAACTAAAAAAGAAAAGAACGAAAACGAAAAGATTGGGCAGAAATGAAGCAAAAAATATCGTGAGATGAAGTTAGTAAAAAAAATAACCTGAGCTCCTTCACCAT